TGTTATCCCATCTTCTCTCACTATTATGGGATTTTACTGACTACTCTTTTCCTCAACCATCTGCAAATCCATGCCCACCACTGAATAAAATAGACCAGGTACTAACCCCCCCCCCAGACCAACAGCTCTCACCCCTTTCCCCTAAATGGTAGGACCCCTTTAAAGTAATTCTTGTAACTCGCACAGTTGCCAAGCTCAAGGGACTCTCTCATTGGATCTACCTGTCTCATCTTAAACCTTTTACTCTTAAAGCTCAAGAAAGCTCTTTGTATATGGTAACTCAGCAGGGCCCTGCTCCCTTAAGTACCAGAGAATACCACAATCAGCCACTTTTTCTCCAGTTCCAGAAGAGTAAAAGTCTCATTATCATACTCAACTCTCCTGTACCAAAAACTCCATATACTCTCCTTCTTCCTCTTTCTCCTATCTGCTTTACCAACTTCTCTATATCTCCAATGTCATACTTAAATTTCCAGTCAACCACTCAGTTGTTATTACAGGGAACTAGTGTGGGAGAATTGCCTTTATTCTGTCAATCATGTTTTAAATAAACGCTGATTGGCCAGGCAGGAAGTATAAGTGGGTCTACCAGATAGGAAGTAGAGGCAGGGTGATGTGAACAGGAGAATTCTGGGGAGGAAGCCCATTCCTTCCCCAGCTCTGCCCAGATCACTGAAGAAGCAGGATGTGACCTTCCCAGCTGAAAAAGTTACAGAGCCATGTGGCTAACATAGATAAGAATGGGTTAATATAAGCTACAAGAGCTAGGAAGAAGCCTGAGCTAATGGGCCAGTCAGTTTATAATCTTATGGAGACCCCTGTATGATTTTCTCCGGGACTAAAATGGCTGGGGGATTGGAAAGAACAGAACCCCAGCAAGCCAGTCTGTTAAAGAATGGTACCCAACATGGATAACTGCAACCACAGAAAGCCCGAGAAAGCTTGGGAAAAAATAGAGTAAAGCATGTTTTCTTAGTAGCAGCAATTTCTCGGGTCTGCTCTGCTTGCTAGGGGCAAGCAAGCACTCTCATTTAAGAGAGGCTTCCTCACTCAGCTTTAGCTGCAAAACCGTGCGGCTCTTTGAAAAGGTCCTGCCATGAAACACTTAAACGGTGTTGATGAAAAGCTGATCACATGCTTTTCAGTTTTCAGCCATAGAAGGAAAAAAAGCTATGCCATTTTAAAATGCTGGCTTTCTGGGCCACTTGCCAGGGCAAACTCTGACTCTTTCAGGCAGGCTGTCTGACTATGAAACATTTGAGTGTGGTTTATGAGTACACTGCTACAGCTTGCTTGCTGGCAGGAACCTTGAACTGCCAGAGTTGTGGCAATAAACATGGTTCCAGCGATACCTCTGCCATGAGGCTAGAAAGCTAAGGAATGGGCTGGATCCAGCCATCAAAGCCATGACTTTAATCCTCTCCTTAAAGACTCATGTAGTCAGAAAAAAGAGAGATATACAGTAGGGATTCAAAGATGAAGAAAACCTCTAAATGTTTTACAGTGTGTTAAAATATATGTAGGGTTGAAAAAAAGTTAAAGTCCTTAAAATAAAAAAGAAAGAGAATAGTTGGGTGTGGTGGTACACACCTTTAATCCCAACACTTGGCAGACCTCTGTGACTTCAAGGTGTGATAGCATACACCCTTAATCCCAATGCCTGGGTGGTAAGAAACAACGAAGAATTTAAGGACATTCACAGCCCCAGACTCTAAAATCTCACAAAACAGGTTTTAACATAACAGGTGTATCACTGACTGCAACAGTGTCTCCTGGATGTTAAAGTTGATACCATGATGCTAAAGAAAACAAGTGCCTTAAGATTTGCTTCAGGTAAAACATTGAGTGGTCTAGGAATTCTCCTTTCTAATAATTCCCCCTTCTATTCTTTCCTCCTCCCCACCATTTTCTACTCTAATACTATACTATCATAATCTTAAGGTTTTTTTTTTTTTCTTTTAATTTTCGAGACAGGGTTTCCCCATAGCTTTTTTGGTTCTGGTCCTGGAACTAGCTCTTGTAGACCAGGCTGGCCTCAAACTCACAGAGATCCGCCTGCCACTGCCTCCTGAGTGCTGGGATTAAAGGCGTGCGCCACCACTGCCTGGCAATCATAAGCTTTTATATGTCTAAAATATATTTCTCTTCAAACATTTTTCATAAATGCCAGGGAACCAATTGGACCTATCTACACGGAGCAGACTCAACAAGAATAAGTATTATTTAATTCTTCCCTTATTAATTCTGTTCTTGGGAACCCCTGGGAAACTCCTTCCTCCACCCCACCCCCTGAAAAAAAACTTCCAACTTGGGACTCTCCTCGCTCAATCACCAGGATCTAATTTTTTTCCAGAAATAACTTTCTGCTTTTCCATAATATTGTGAGGTCCAAGGTGCTAGCTAGCCAGTTCCACAGAGCCTGGAAAAAAACATGAAAGTAATCAGCCACCCCAGGACTAGGTTAAGCACCTCAACTCTCCAATTCCCACAAAATCAGCAAAAGGCAGTCTCAAGAGACCTGACAATGCCCACAAAATCAGCAAGAAGCAGTCACAAGAGACCTGATGACACCCCATTCCCACCTATTAAAGATCCCAAACTCCCCAAATTTTTATAATATACAAAAGGGTGGAATGTTATGATTTTAGCCAACCAGCATGGTTGGTATTTCTGGATTCCAGTGCCATGCATGTGTGGACAAGCCCTCAGGCAAAAATACCTAGCCACCACGAGGACCTTAAAAGGCCATGTGTGACCCACGTGTGGCATGGTTATATCACCTACATATGACTCAGCTACATAAGCCCTTGCATGCATGCATGAGCTCTGTCACCTGCGTATGACGTAGCTGTCTTCCCCCTGTGCACATGCGTTAGACAGCCTTTCAAAGTTGGACATGCCATCTTCAGCTCTTTCTTTCTGCACATCGACATCACCAGGCCTGTACATATCTCTTCTCATAAACTGTTAAGCAGGTTTGTTGCATGTTTAATGCTTCCTTCTCACTCTTGCCAGGTAATTTCAGATTCCATTATGCCAGTCAACATGCTTAACTCCATATTTTACTACTTATTGAAGTAACTTACAAATAAGTGAGTAGATTATATGTACTAATAATGATTAGCTCCTAGTCACCAAGAATGAATCCAAATTGGATTCTATACTTCACACTTTGTGTCTTTCATCCTGTCTGTCTGTATGACTATGAATCTATGCCTCCTTGAAGGCTGTCTTCCGAATCTGTTTGTTCCTGTCTGTCCTTGTGTTAGTCTGTTAGGTGACTCTGTGTCTTTGAGTGAGTGGTGTCTGTTCCTAGCAGAAAATGTCACTCTATCTTCATTGAAAAGCAGAAAGCAACATATAGGTAAGGAATGAGCTACTTCACAGAAATCTTTAAATTTGACAAGGAACTCTAACTGGCTCCAACTGGTCATAATTGATTCAGATAACAAATACATTGCTTAGCAACTGATATCTGGAAAAGATCCTTTCAACATGTATAGTACACTTTAACAAGTTTTGTTCAACTTCTGTATTTGCTGTTTTCAGCAAATGAAATACATGAACTGTCTGGCTCAGTGGCATGTTAGAATATAATTTAGATTGCAGCTATGTATTAGCTTAGGCAGTAAAAGAAAATCCAAGGAAAATAAATCATCACACAGTTCTCTTAAAATTTCAAGAGCAGAAACATGAAACTAATTTTATGTTGAACATCCCATTTAAAATCTTGGTTTTTAGAAAGGTAATCTTCATTTCCTTCAGGTCTCCTGATACTTTTGTAATTCTCAACTAATGAATATTTTGAAGATCAAAGATCACTATAACATTTGCTTAGACCTGCTAAACATTTGTTTTGAAATATATAAGTTCAGATGCAAACAGAGACTGCTTTTTTGTTTCCTGGCCGCCCACACCCAAATAATCACAAAAAACTATATTAATTAAAACACAGCTTGATCTATTAGCTCAGGCTTTTTATTAACTAACTTTTACATCTTAAATTAACCCATTTTTATTGATCTATGTATCACCACAAGGTTGTGGCCTACTGGTTAATTTTCCAGTGTCTGCCTCCTTCATGACTATCTAGGAATACACCTAAGCTATTAGCAGCAAAACACAGTTGTAATCAATATATATTTGGGTCTGGGCAGCCTCAAAATGAATGAGCAGTCTCTGTTTACATTCAGGTGCAACATAAATGTGTAGTTAAACCATTTCTGTACTAATAATGTTTTTAATTTTTGCCACTGGTTTCTCAAATTTACTAATCCTTTCAAAATCTAAATCCCCATCAATTTCAGGATATTTAGTTTTTTAATCTGTCATAACAGCAAACCCCACCCAGTACTTATATTATTTATAATTGTTTAATAGTTAATAAATTATAATTAATATTGCACCATTATATATGGTGGTTTTAAACAGCTCAAATGAGACTGTGTGTATATATATTCATGTATATTTATATAAATACATATATGTATTTCCCAGCTCCTATAATTCTTGAGTAAATTCAACTCCAATTTTATTTTTCCCAATGTATGCCCCACAGCATCTTAAGTGAAAATATACCCATATGGCCAGTGTGAGTCCTGTTGGGCATTACTATGGATTGTGCTAATATTTTTTTTCACTTAGCTCAATTCTTCAATCATTATTTACTAATTATTTTTAATTATTTTAAAGATTTAAAATAAATTCATGAGTATAGTATTTGACTGCATTTATGTATGTGCACATCATGCATTCTTGGTTCCAAAGGCCAGAAGAAAGCACAGAACTCCTTAGAACTAAAAAATGTTTGTAAAGAGGTATATGGTTGATGGGAACAGAACCCACATCCTCTGAAACAGTGGCAAATGTTCTTAACCTCATCTCCAGTCCCCATTTATTTTTGAGACAGGTTTGCAAGTTCCCCAGGCTAGTCTCCATAACTTGTTGTGGCCAAGTATAACGTTGAATTCCTGACCCTTCTGCATACAACTTCTAAGTACTCTTGTATGACTTCTTTAGCAAACTTTGCTGCTGCTGCTACTGTAGCCAGTCTCTCGTCATCTCATCCTGGCCTGTTAAAGAAGACAGCAAATGTTTAGATTGACCAAGGTGGATTAGATGCTCCGCCATCATAAAGCAGATGACATTAACGGTTGAGAAAGAGTTAAAGGATGAAGTGGCAGAGGCCACTCTCTTGTTCAGTTTGGCAGCATCTAATTGGGCACTTGGTTTCAGCTTTGAATCACAGCAAAAAAGAACAAAGAACATAAGAAAGGCATGGAAGACTTTGCTCATTGTTTCTCACAGTGGCTTCATTCTCGGGAGATTTATTTTTATAACATCCATTGGCTTATGAGTTGCAAAAGATAAATGCAAGCTAATGGATGTTGCAGGCTAATAGGATTTTCTGCTGTTCATAATCTTCCCAAGGAGAGAAAGCATCTTGGAGACAGCTTGTGTTTCAGGAATCTTAATGTTACTGTTACACACCTTTTCATCCCTTCCACAATCTCTATACTTACAAGTTACAGAAGTAGTAGGAAACTCCTGGCAATTTCTCTTATACCTATTCAGTGTAATTCGCCTTTGTGTTTGAGTCAATAACTGGGAGAACAAAACACCATTTACAAGCCAGTCATATTATACTCTAATCTGTTTCTGTGTGTTTACTTTTTCAATGTGAAAAACACAGAGAAAAAGTGCTATACTTTAATAAGTTTTCTAAGAAGGATGTTAATTCCAGGTAAATTTTTAAAGGTTCAGCCATAGGTGTTACCTAGCAGTTACACAATATAGTCACTTTGGCAACCTATGAAGCCACAGAACAAGGCATATTACATTTGTTTATTAGTCTTCATTTTGGTTCTACCATATAAGTAAATGTCCTATAAATTCTTTTTTAAAAATCATTTTTATATTATTTGAAAGTTCTATATATTGATACATGTTTTAACCATAGCCATCTATTACTACCTCTCCAATTCTCCCCAATCTTTTCTCCCCATCCTCCTCCCATCTTCAAGACTGCTTTTCTGACTTTTGATTTTAATAACCCCAAGTTTTATTAGTGCTGTCCATATGCACGTGCTAACTTGGCAAGCTGACAAACTGCATTATAAATATTTTCTATTCCCATAGACTTATGCTGCTTTCAACTTTGGTCAGAATAGCTTCTTTCTGCATTGCATAACAGTTAGTGTAAAGACCCATAACTGACCTAAGTGCTGATTATAAATACCTCTTGGGTGCTCATCTGAGGATAGGTCACCCATGTTCTAAGAACTCTTGACAAGTGCAAAAATCTCGATTAAAAGGGGAATTCTTGGCTGCCTAACAGTACTGTGAAAATAAAAAAAAATGTTTCTTGATATTTATATCATAACTTAAAGACCTAAGTATATTTGATTAGTAATATATACATGTTATGGTTACACATATTTTTCTTTTTACGTACATGGGATAGAAAATTGTTATTAAGCAAGAATAAAAGAAAGATACTGAGCTATATAATATGCCTTCTAGGGGTATACTGATTGCCAAAGTAGATACATTTTATAGCTGCTAGGCAACCTTTATAACAGAACCTTACAAACTTCTACCTGGAATGGAACATCTTTTTTTAAAACTCTTACTAAAGTTTAGCACTTTTTTCTCTGTATTTTTCATAATGAAAAAGTAAACACATAGAAACATGGTAGGGTCTAGGATGATTATTACCAAATTTTATGCTCAAAGTTCCAGAAATTCTATAATCCTGTCTTCTTTCCATCAGACATTTCCTATCATCTTGAAGGAAAACATCTGTATGGAGAAACAGAAATGTGAAATAAGGTAATTTATTACATCCTTTGCTTATTACATCTCTATACTCTTTATACCCAGTACAGAGCACTTTGATAAATCTGAATTTAAGGAACCTAGTCCTCTTGCTAGACTCAACCCCAAATTCTAGGATGTGATTACCTTGAGACCAGCTGTGATGTACAGATGAAAAATGATTTCACCTATGAAAAAAAAAAAAACAAAAGTCATGATAGCGGTGACCTCCTCCAGATCAACGACGGAGCAGGTACTGGGCATCTGAAACCATTAACTCATATCTTTCTGGGTGAGATACTCTCCCTCATCTCCTCCCAACTGTTCCCTCCCCTACTTCATTCCCTTCCCCTTCCCTACACACATATCTCTTTCCCCTCTTCCTCCCAATAACTTCTTTCTCACCCTTTTTCTCTCCCTTATCTACTTCCACTTTTCTCTTCTTCCTGCCATGATCTCCTCCTTCTCTTGTCCCATTCCTCTCCAATATCTCCATTGATATCTTCCAGTTGAAGAATTATGATCTAGGAAATATATCACAATGTTAATAATCATATGTTTATTAAACAGTCAAAAGGTCAGTATCCTATACTTTTTTATGATAAACAAATTTTATAATTAAGAGAAATGGCAAGGTTTCATAGCATGGCATTTATTTGACATTTATTTTAGGGTGCAATAAAAGAACACGAAAAATTATCAAATAATGTAATGAAAGGCAAAGTAGAACACATTAAAATAAAAATATGGTTTCATTAGTTTTCAATTACACAGTATATAATGATGCAACTTTTTAAAGTACTATATTAAACACCTTAATCATAAATAATACTTTTTCTCATAGAACAATATGTCACATAAAGAAACTAATTTGGTACTGACAGATATTTTTAAATATATTTTTTCAAGTAATTACATTTCACAATAGAATGTTTCCGATAGTATTATTACTACATTTCTATGGCAAAGTAATGAAGGCACAGTTAGTGCAAGCAGATTTAAGTCCTTAATCTTCTGTGCTGAAAAAAAGAAAGAGAAAATACATATACATTGACATTTAAAGTTTTGCTTTTTCAGGCAAGAATTTGTCTAACAAGTTTGATGATTTGCACAGATACAATCTAATAGGAACATGACAAAACGAGTTCACAAAACCAACACTGTAGCACCAAACAAAACATGCTTTGGAAAATTAACAGTAGTTTACCCATTTTGAAGAATATTACAACAGGCAAGGTAGAATAACAGATGCATAAGACACTATTTTAAGACAGTACCAGGAAAAAGGAAAACACCAGACTATAAGAAGCAATAGTGTTCAGATTATAGGGCAAGTTTTGTCTTTTACAAGGTTAGGTAAATCTGTTTCACTTCTGCTTGCTTGACTTTTTAATGTTCTTGAAAAATCTTTCAGGTTGCCTTTTTCACTTGTAGTACTTCCTGTTTCCATAATCCCTGACATCATGGTAATAGGGATCATTGATTTCTCCTGTGAAATAAAAGATTGATTTCAAGATAACATTATCATGCAAAATTTGACCAATTTCAAAGTCCTCATCAAGTATAGCATCTTCTCTTGGTTCCAGCTTCCCAATCAAAGGAATCTCAGGAGGACTAAAGAAATTGAAGAAGGATGCATTACGAACCACTCTTGGCTGGACTTCAGTTTCTCCAGTGGCAGCTGGGCGACTCCGGGTAGTTTTCACTGTCACATCTTTTCCTAGTCTCCAATCTATTTTGCAGCCTTTGCACTCTTCAATTTCCCATCCCCAAGCAAAGAAAGGGTCATAGTGATCTGGTTTCGACCTTATTATGTATGTTTTCACCAGGAACTCATTTCTGAAGTATGGGTTAGGCAAGAAGTGAAATTCAAAAGTGTAACTTACAGGCTGGCCAGGATTTGAGAACTTCAGGCTAACATCAGATAAGAACTTCAAAATGGGCTCATCATATTTCTGAATCATAGGCCCAAGCTTATCAACATTCTTTAAAACAGTCAGCCAGTAGTCAGGAATGCCTTTAGGATCTTCTCTCTTAGGCTTTCTCTTTCGAGCCCTTTTAACATTACCTCCTTCTTCAGGCCTTGTCTCAGGAACTCTTTTTTGAGACTCTCTTACTGGAGCCCTTGCTTTAGATTCTTCTGTAGGCTGATCCTTATTTTCTGCATTTGCCTGGGGAACTTCTTTGGGGTCTTCTTTTTCTTCAGGAGTTATCTCTATATAATCTGTAGAGTCTGCCTTTTCTTCAAACTTTACCTCAGGAATTTCTTCAGAGGCTTCCTTTTCTTCAAACTTTACCTCAGGAATTTCTTCAGAGGCTTCCTTTTCTTCAAACTTTACCTCAGGAATTTCTTCAGAGGCTTCCTTTTCTTCAAACTTTACCTCAGGAATTTCTTCAGAGGCTTCCTTTTCTTGAATTTCTTCAGGTACTTCTTTTGGAATTTCTTTTTCTTCAGTTTTCACCTCAGGAATTTCTTCAGGAGCTTTGTTTTCTTCAACTTTTGCCACAGGAACCTCTTTTGGAACATCCTTTTCTTCTTCCTTTACTTCAGTTTTTTCTTTACAGCTTTCTTCTTCTTCCTCACCCTCTAAGGGTGGCATTTCATTAGGTGTGTCATCCTGCATTTCCTCATCGCCACTGAACTCTTCGTCTGAATTCCACTCACATTCTTCTTCTGTAGGCTCATATTCTGCATTTATGATCTGAAAACGCTTATCATAAAGAGGCTTATTGAGCTCAGCATATTTTCTTTCAAGATCATGAATTGCCCTTAAAAACAAGGTGTCTACCTTGTCACACTCATCCTGAATATTTCGGAGTGCCTGCACCCGATTTCTCACTGCCTGAGGCAGCTTATCCATAAAATATTTCCCAGAGGGATGCCGCTGGGCCCTTCTGGAAGGCTCAGGTACCCTCTTCTTTCGGTATACTTGACTGCCACTGCTGCTGCTGCTGCTACTGCTACTGCTGCCGCTGCCGCTGCCGCTGCTGCTGCTGCTGCTGCTGCTGCTGCTGCTGCTGCTGCTGCTGCTGCTGTTGCTGCTGCAACTAGAGGTACTGCTAGAGCTATTGCTGTCAGATTCTTCCCCAGAATCACTAGCTGAGCTAGCCATCACCTCTTCAGCAACCCCATGGGCGGCAGGTTCTGTGATCATTTTAGGATCCGCTTCTGCCATGCTGCTAGTCCCGCACACCTCTTTAAAGTGGTGACAACAGAGATCGCACACCCAGAGATGGGCAGAAATGACTCACGGACGCTCTGAAGGCGGCTGCGAAGGCCTGGGCGGTGGCGGCGGCGGCGGCGGCTACGGAGACAAGCGACAGGCTACCGGCAGCGACAAGGACTGCAGTGACAGCGCCGGTGGCGCGGCCGGGGCGGGGCCACGGAGGCGGCACGCAGGAAGCCGCGGCAGCGGAAGCCGGTCAGGAACCTTGGCGACAAGGACTGTTCAGCCGCAATAAACCGGGGCCCAGACGTGCTGCAGTCAAATGGCGCAGTAGCGAACGCAGAATGGGCTTCTGGGTTAGGATGGAGAGCCCCTCCCTTTGCTGACACCCCTCCCGTTAATTTCGTTCCCCGGATGTCTGTAGTCGCTCCTCATTTGCTGAACAGATTTGATTGACTAGTGTTACGGCCAACGAATGGCCTAAGGCCACAGCTCTTTCTCCTGACTCCTCCCACCTTCCCAGATACTCCTTGGTGGCTAAGGAACAATCCCCCCCACCCCCACCCCCCGACCGGGTCTCTCCTAACAAAATTCTCTCCTTATGTGGTTTTTAATTCAAAGGGAGAGAGAAAAAAAAAATTTAAAAAAAGTCGTAGACATGAGGTAAAAATTCCAGCGATAGTTCCTAGCAACGGAAAAAAAACGAACCCCTTTGGCTCAGCAGCCCAGAATTCCTGTTGGACAAGGCCTCCACACCGCGAACCGTTAATGTTAAAAAAAAAAAAAAAAAAAAAAAAAAAAAAAAAAAAAAAAAAAAAAACCTCTAAGTGGCGTCATTGCATAGTGTGACTGGATGATTGGGGGGAGGGACACGCAAACAAATATTCTATGAGCATGTGTTTAAACACTGGAAAAGGGGGGAGTCGTTTATTGGCAGAGGGGGGAGGGGCCAGACAGCAGGCATATTGCGTTCCACGTAGCAGATTTAATAAGTGCTGTCTGTGATGTTTGGCAAGCCTGGTTTATCTGGTTTATATCCATCTACAAGGTTTGCGAACCCATGTTGCCGTGAGTCAGTCACACCATTTTTTTAAAATCGTATTTCTGTTTTAAAGCTGGCATTTATTACTAAATTGCCACGTAGTCCTTTCCAATGCTTGCCGTAAAAATTTAGATAAAACAAAGGGGGTTAAAATGTAAGGTGGTATTTTTTTTTTAAGCAGAGGATTTGTTTCAGACTTTTGTGCAGCAGGTTTCAATTCCACGAACAGCAGGATGGGAGGTGGGGGTTGTTATAACGTAAGTGCATCATCTGTAAGCGTTTAAGAAGTCATCTGGCACCAATTTCCTTCTAATTTGGAATTGTATCCATATTAAAAGGATGATTTACAAGTCCAGCAATATGTAAAGAAACTTTTGCTAAATGAAGTTTAAAAACAGATATTTGCTATTTTTATTTACAGGATTCAGTTCTGCTACAACCAAAAAGACCAGTGTTCACTTTCCGTTGAAAGGTAAGGACGTATTAGCACCCTTTTTTATGAATGATCAGAATTGCACATCTTAAATAAAATTTCACAGAGCTGGCTTGGCATATGTATAAGAAAATAACCTACTTAACAAAATGTGCTCTCCAAACTTGATGTAGTCTATAAGTGTTATGTTAAAATAAAAAATATACTCCATTATTATTTTCAAATGGTGACAAGTTTTTGTGCCGTACTTTTCATTACAGAGTTTGTGTTTTTCATTTAGTCACTTATTTTTAAGTTAAGAAATTGGTTTGAAAATAAACTTTTATTTATCTGTAGCTGTCAAATTATATGTGCATTTTAAAGATTAATATTCAGTATAGAATATTCTGATGATAGTGAACCTTTAATTATAACAACCAAATGATAACCATTTTAATATGTTGATGCATTTCCTTCCAGAAGTTTTCTTATGCTTGTATACACTAGTTTCTTTATGTATATTCTTTTATCTGTGTGACATCATATGATGGTTAGTAATTTGCTGATTTATGGCTATATTTTCATAGGAAATAATCAATTCTTTATTTTTAAATAGATCTATATTTCACTATAATTGTCTTGAACTATTTAATCAGAGTCATTTTGTGGGTACAATATATGTATATATCCTGAGTATCTGTAGTATGAATTAGTATATACTTCAGAACATTAACATAGTATGTATTTCTAGATATTGGAATATGAACTAATTCTTATGGTTATTTAATCATTTTGTACCAGTTGCAAATGTCCATGAAGATTATTAAAATATAAAAGGTATTAGAGTTCATCCATTTTAGTATTCAAACAATTATGCCTGTGTCTTTCCTGTGACAGGTATATTAGTAATGAATGCTTATCTTTTACTTTTTGTTTTGTAATTTTATTGATAACACACACTATGTAAATAATAATTCAATGCAATGGCCTGCATGATAAATATTGTACTTCCATTTATCTGTAGTTACAGTAATAGACATTTCTAAAATAAAGATACTTATATTTTAATATTTTATAGTAATTTAATAGTGTAATTTACATGTTAACTTCTGTACCATCAGAGATTAATATTTCTGAGTCAGTTTTGAGTTAAGATCTAGATTGGTTTATTTTCCTGAAGTGGGTCTGGAATACGAGAATCACACATGCTAGGGCACTTTATCACTGACTTGTAAATATAACCAAAGATATTTAAATTTTTATATTGGTAGCTACCTATTACTTTTTGAAATACTTATTTAGTAATCTTTTCATCTGTACCTATTGAATGTGTTTATGTACCATGTAAGCTGAGTCAATTGGATCAATTTCTACATTCTGCTCTTTTTTTATTGAACACAATTTTCAGAAAATAATGCAAGAGGGCAAATTTTTGTTGTTGTTTTTATCTCGTCACACTATGAATCCCATGATGGCCTCAAATTTTCTGTGTATCCCAGATTTGTTTCAATACTATGGGACTTTTAAGGTCAATTTGTATTTTTTGAAATTACATGTTGATTGAAATAATTTGGTATATTAAATACAAATAATAAATCAGATGTAACTCGATATTTCCAGAGATTACTACTATTCTCATTCAAGTAATATTTTTGTAATGATTTTTCAAAGCTATAAACATCATTTCTTAGATTAGTAGTAAGATTGAATATCTTTTCATAGTTTATTTTCCATTTAGCAATAATTTATTATCTGCTTCTTCCCAACTGAGTTAAAAAAGAATTAATCCATGTTGAACCTAAAAGGTAAAGTGACTTGGGCATTGAACTAATGAAACCATGAATATTTTAGAAAATATCATTGCTATAAATGCCATATAAATCTCTTTTATAGGGTTAAGTATAAAGTATATATTTAGAAGATTTTTATAATTTTAAATTATGGATTCCTTTTCACATACATATTTTGTAAATTCTTTGATGGGAAAGAAACATATAAAAAGTCATACAAAATAATATTTATGAATTTTATGATTTTATGATTTTTTTTCTATAATCTTTGAGTTTTGAAATTAGATGACAGTTTCTAATCATAGTACTCTTTCATGTACTTTCTTCCTTAGGTATTATATAACATTTTGATGTATTATTTATTTGATATAATTAAATTCATACACACATTTCTTCATGTAATTCATGTAAGCAGTTTAAGTACACTATATATTTTCTACTATATATACATGCTTTAGTTCCAAAACATTATGTGCCTAATTTTCATCAGAAGATAATGTATAAACTGCTTACACAATGAGTGCTCTGTCTGTTCTTTTATCTTGTTATTGTTTATCTAATACTAAATTACAGTCTTTAGAGTAGATAATGTTTATCACAGAAATTGTTAGTTACACAGGTTGTACATAACTCTTTGAGAACTGTTTATAACTTTCCTGATTAGAATATATGCATAGACCCTTGTATTGTTATCTCTCTCTCTCTCTCTCTCTCTCTCTCTCTCTCTCTGACACACACACACACACACACAAACACACACACACAATGGCAAGTGTGTCAGTGTTTGTTCAATTACAAATATCTATAAGACAATGCATAGGCAGATTATTACTTTTAAGCTTTTAAATTAAAATTGTGTAAATTGTATGTGTGTGAATGTGTACACATGTGTGTATTAGTGTGTGTGTGTGTGTGTGTGTGTGTGTGTGTGTGTGTGTGTGTACTACCTGAAAGTGCATATGGAAGTTAGAAGACAAATTTGAGGAGTTGGTTCTCTCATTCTTTCATGTGTCCAGGTTAGCATGACAAACATTTTTACACACTGAGCCTTGCTACAGAGACCAGTTCATTTTTTTTATTGTTGTGTCATTTTGGGATGAAAAATCATCCTGACAGTGTTACCTGACTAAACTAGTATCCCATTCCCTATTTCAAAAAACTATTAAAATACAATGTACACAACAAACTTTAATAAATCTATATACAATTGACATCATCTCTGACACTCAGATAGTAGATTTTTTTTGTCATACTAAAATTTTTCTCACACATGTACATATCTATGATTCCTCCCTCTGTTGTTTTATAACAATTAATATATTTTAGGGTCCTATACACTAATTTTCATTTTTTTGCTATTGTAAATCAACATTATCATTGAAAATTCATCTCTTTTTGCCTTTATTTATTCTCTAGTACAAATATTTCAAAATGTATCCACTTTGTATGTATCAAGAGTGCTTTTTCTATTTTTTACTGAGTAGTGATATATTTTGTGTAAGAACACTAATTTATTCTTATTCATCTGTGTAAGTTTAAGTGTGTGAATAAAGTTGCTATGATTCCTTTGTGAACAAGTATCTATATGAACAAGGATATATATTTTTGTTTCTTTTAGAAAATATTCCTAGGATTGGAATGGCTGGATCAAATGGTAGGTATATTTTTGCCTTCATAAGAAATCTATTTCTCATATAGGTTATTTTCAACTCTACCAACAGTAAAAATATTTTCTATGTTCAGGGTTCTTAAATATAACATCTTGATAGGTATGTGGTATCATAGTCTTGTGGTTCTTATTTGCATTTGCTAATGACTACTGATGTTGGGCATCTTTTCATATGCTGATTTGCCAATTACATATGTTCTGAGAAGTGTGTACTCATATTTTCCCTATTTAAAAATAAGTGTTACTTACATTGCTAGTATTCTTTGAGTGATCTTCTATAATGTCTACGTGAGTCCTTCATCAACTAAAAGGTTAGCAAATACAGTGTGAACTTATTTTATCTTTTCTCAACATTGCCTTTAATAGTTTTCAGAAAGGAGAAGCTCTTTTTACAATTAAAATGAAGTCCAAGTAATATTTCTTCCAAATACCATGTGTCATCCAAAGTCACAGACACTATTCTTTATCATTTTTTCTATAAATTTAATGCTTTTAAGCTTGATACTAAGGCTGATGTTTTGATGTGTGACAAAAAAATATGGATTGAAATCATTTTAATATTTTTCATAAAGATATACATAACTGGTTCAATTTCAGGAAACTTTCCTTTCTCCATTTATATGAATGTGCACAATTGTCAAACATTATTTGTCTGAATATATGTGCTTCTATGATGAACCATTGTGTTATGCTTTCTACTGGTTTTAATCCCCCAATTGATAGGCATACATTTATTAGATACATTCAGGAGAGAATAAGAGCCAGTGTGGGATAACAGAATTTCATTACAATGGAGAGAATTAAACTGCAAAATTTCATAATTGGCCTTTCATTTATTCTTCACATGTTTAAGAGACAGAAACAGACAGCAATATCATAAACCTAGAGAACAAATAAACATAAAAGACAAGTTGGTTTATGGAGTTGCCAGTGTATACATATATACAGCATAACTATAGAAATAGTATTTTGCGGTTTTCAGCAGTGTAAATAATATCTTTGCTTTCTTAATCCAGAGGCCTTTGTTTACTACAATTGAAATACAAATAAATTTAGGATAATATAATCTATGATTGAAAACTAATAGTAAAATTATAGTTTGCCATTTCACAAAATAATTTTCATTATAATATTGTACTTCATTCTTATTTCTTTATAAAGTATACAAATGAAGTGAATGTGGTGTATAGACAGGTTTTGATATATCAATATCAAGATCATTGATATAATGATAATTTAAAAGAATTTTAAAGTACAATTATATATATATGTAGCAGGTAAAATGATACATATGTATGTATATATTTTTACATATGCATTTTACACTAGCTAGATCATAAACTGATAGATCATCTGTTCACATTTCTGGGCCGGGTTTCTGTGTATGTTTCTATTAACTTCACTAAACATAATGTCCTACATGCTCATCTTTGTTGTCACAAATTACAAGATTTCTATTGTTTTTTTAATGCTAAATAGACTTAACTTTTTATTCATTCCAAATTTTTTTTTCCTCCAGTTTATGGTCACTTGGATTAATATTCTACCTTGCCTATTTCAAATAATGATATAGTGAATACAGACACTAGCTGTTTTCCTAACATACCGATTTCATTTCTTGAACATACTCATTTCTGTAATGGCTTATTAATTTACTCACTTTAACAGTGTTAAAGGTTACCCTTTGTTCTCCATCCACTGGCAGTGGCACAAGGATTTATCTCTATTGCTTGTCCTGGATTTTTTGGAAGCTACATTCTTGGCATGGATACCTTGCTCAGCCTAGATATAGTAGGGAGAACCTTGGACCTTCCATTGGACAATGTGTATTATCCTCTTGAGGACTGGGTGGGGGTGGGGTGGCAGTGTATTTGAAGGGAATAGGAGGAGGGGAGGGAGTGAGAACTTCGATCGGTATGTATAATGAAAAAAATATAGTTTGTTTTCTTGTTAAAAAATAAATGTGATAATAAAAATAATGTAAAATCATAAAAGGGATACATTTACAGTGATATCCAAAGATTTCTTTCTTAGAACACCCATCTAAAATATTTTACTATAATTCCAATAAAGTATATATTTTAAAGTATAAGTTTATTTGTCTTTTACATAATTTATTGAAGGCAGAGGAAAATGTCAAATAACTTAAGCAGTGTACAGTATTAATATGTATTTAACCTCAGTAACATATTCAAAAATTTATACTTTATTTGGATATAAGGAACATAATATATTGATATTATCTGTCAACTTCAAGGCAGAATAAAAGAAACACTTTAGCCGGGCAGTGGTGGTGCACGCCTTTAATCCCAGCACTCGGGAGGCAGAGGCAGGTGGATCTCTGTGAGTTCGAGACCAGCCTGGTCTACAGAGCTAGTTCCAGGACAGGCTCCAAAGCCATAGGGAAACCATGTCTCGAAAAACCAAAAAAAAAAAAAAAAAAGAAACACTTAATTTCATTATATGACTATGTTAAGGGAAAAATAGTCTCATGGTTGTGCAGATAGCCTTGCAGATTGAAATAAATTCATATTCATTTACTGTTCAAAATTGTTCATTTTCATATATATACACAGAGAGAGGGAGAGAGAGAACACAGTCTTATCTTTGAGTTAAAATGGAGAGATTTGTAATAATAATAATATTTTCTTTTCTTAAAGTCATTTTTCATAGGTAGACTCTGAAGTCAATTAAATCCCAGACTTTGCTTCTGTTCTCTTTCGTTACTAACTCTTCTAGATACTGGGCAGTTCAGTTCACTTTACTGCATCTGTTCTTAATCTTTAAAAGAGGACTACCTATGGATCATTACATAGAGATTGAATAGTCTTTGCTGCTTTGTATTTTGTTATCATGAATTTGTAGACAGAACCTTTCTTGTTATGATTTCAAGCACCGCTATCAATTTCTTCTGTATATGTTCTAATTGTTGTTTTAGACATAATCCACCTTTCAAACTGTAATTTGCCTGAGGGTCAAAACACAATGTATGTTGGGTAACCTCTTGTTATTTATAACATTATTTGATCCAGATAGTTATAAGGTCATTAAACAGTTAGCCTGTCTAATATTTACCTGTAGAATCTCCTCTTTCATTTCAACACCTACCTCAAATCACATGTTCAATGAAATATCTAATGATGAAGATATGGTTTAGAGTTTAAGTGCACTGACTGTTCTAGAGGAGCCAAGGTTGATTCCCAGCACCACATAAATGCTCACAATGGTCTGCAACAGCTGTCCTCGGGGCTGTGTTCTCTTCTAATCTCCACAGACACCAAGCACACATATGGTGTACAGACATACATGGAAGCAAAAAACCCCATACACATGCAAATAAAATAATAATAAAATATTCATTTAATTTTGAACATTATAATCTGTCCCCATTCATCATGAAGAATTTCCGGCTCCTAAGCTACACATTTTGTCTTATCTAAGACAAATTTACTTTATCTCATGGCTCTGTATATTTTTATTCCATTATAAATATGTAACATCAAGTTTATTTGCAATTACATATAAATTACAATAGCACTAAAATTGTGAAACAATAGCTTCTGTTCTTGATATTTGTTTATTTAGTTATTTAATTTTCTAAAGGTTTATTTATTTATTTATTATGTGTGCTATGTTCTGCCTGCATGTATCTTTGCAGGTCAGAAAAGGGCACCAGATCTCATTATAGATGGTTGCAAGCAACTATGTGTTTGCTGGGAATTGAACTCAGGACCTCTGGAAGAGCAGGCACATTTCTTAAGCCCTGAATCATCTCTCTATCACCCTGTTCTTGATATTCATAACCTCTCTTTTAAAATTTGTCTGTATGCTATGTGCTCTGTTTGCCTTTTTCTCTCTCTTTTTTTCTTCCTTCCTTCCTTCCTTCCTTTCTGTCTCTCTCTCTCCTTTTTTTCCGTCCTCCCTCCCTCCCTCTCTCTGTCTCTCTCTCTGTCTCTGTCTCTCTCTCTTTTCAACAAGGTGTCTAAAAGAGTTGCAGGACAGCCAAGGCTGTCTATATAGCTCTGGCTGTCCTGAAACTCTCTACATAGGCCAAGCTGGCCTCAACCTTAAAGAGATTCACCTCCCTTTGGCTCCCAAGTGTTGGGATTAAAGGCATGTGCTACCACATCCAGCAGTGTAAAATTCAATGAAGTGTGTGTGTGTGTTTGTGTGTGTGTGTGTGTGTGTGTGTGTGTGAAGTAAGCTTAAATTTTCAGCCAATATATTTGTTTTCATTTATTTTTCTGTTAATAACTTCTCAGTTAATTAGTTCTCAGTTGTTCTCCTTGGAAGTGAAAAGTATTTGAGAGGTAAAGAGTTGAATCTTATATTTACTAGATATACTTTTAATGTACATTATAGGTGTTTCTGGGTATTCGTCACTACAAAATTTGAGGGTTACTGTACTTATGTTTGTTATTATGTATACAATAGATAAGTGTTATTAGGATTTTTGTTTAGAAGTAGATCACAGAATAAATACCACTTTCATGTGCTCTAATAGTGAATACTTATCCTCAGCATTATGTAGAAAATGGTCATAGCTGTGAATGAACAATAATATGCAACTTAATCATTTTTACTGTAGTGTTTGATTGAATGTATTTCTTGAACTGTAACATTTTAGTTAACACAATAAGCAGTTCCTTTATATTCTAACTTCTCAAAGTCATACATTTTTATTATTAAAAGAACCTAGATATAAAAACAGACAATCTGACATTATATGTTTTATTAGAGCATTACATTTAATGAACAAAAATGTACTTCTAGAACTACAACTAAAATTTAGGTTAGTCATGGCGACTCTTGTATTTCATTCTTACCTTTTATATTCTTATAGAATCATGAGCTTTAGGAATCCCAGTCCTCAAGTTTCTCTGATTTACACAAAAGTTTTATAGTGAACTAACAAGGAATATAAAAGCTAAGTTACCTTGAGAAAAAGATGGGATTCTTTCATTCTAATTATATCCAAAGTTGAT